ACTGTGAGCCACTAGCAGTCTCGCGTGTACACGTACATCCGTGTCTCGTATAAAAAGCAATAAATTTTTAAAAATTTCCTCTATGCTCTGGAAGGGACAAAAGGTCAGAGAGAATAAATCAAAAGATTGACGAAAAAGAAGCGCGGAATTAATTCATCTATCACTTGAAAGCTAATGGAAATTTTTTAATCGAAAAACCATGTTTCGCTACGATGTACAAAAAATATATAAGTAAAAATAATTTAAGCTAAAGAATAATGTGAAATTAATTCGGCTGGTACGTAAAAACTAGCGTAATTTCTGAAACGGAAGAACATGCTCGGTCATATCGGGGAGGTAATAAGAAAAGAGACAAAAACAGGATATGTAAAGAAAACCGATAATACGAAATTAATTCCGATGTGTAATTTTCGGAGCGAAAGAGACATGGTCGGGCATTAAAAAGGAACATTTTAGATGGCTTCTTACGGGCGAACCAGAACCAGGAGGTGGAACGATATTGCATATCTCTTTGGCGTCGTCCATAAGTGAAAAACGGTTTGGTGAAATGTGGCTCATAACGACGTCCAAGAGGACGGACGTAACTCGTTTATAACGACATTCGAGGAACGAAGGCGGACAATGGAGGGTGGACACGGTAGGGGAAAGAGAAAGGAAAAGAGAAAGAGAGAAAGGGAGAGGCTCGCGACCAAATTTCGTAATACCCGTTGCAGGATAGTATGCACGTCGCATACAAAACACAAAGTATGCAAATCCTCAGCGCAGCGCGCGGCCGAATTGAAATCCCCGTAGTGTCCGGCAATTACAGACCGTCACGGTGACTCGCTTCCGGAATTGTCTCGAGCACTTAATTACTAATTCCAGCCAAGTATTTCGTTGGCCGGGGGCTTAAATTACACGCATGGCACCTTACACCCACTCCGGTATCCCTGTGTTCATTTTCCGCAAGCACATGAGCGTCGCGATTAATTCGTACATCTAGGCTATGCTGGATGAAATGAATGTCCCTGCGAAATCGTTTTCGTTCGTAAATCATCGTAAAAAGTTAAGATTCAGAATCGTACAGATTAATTTGTGAATATATCTATAGAAAAATATTTTAGCTGGTGGTTTAGGGTAGCTGATTTATTTTAATTAATATTTTTCGATTAACTTCTTTTACAAGCGTTCTCTTCATTCACCTAAATTCAGGGTTCAGCATTGGGACTAGATGGATACTCAGTGAGATCCATTACTTTTCGACTATAGCCAGGAAATTAAAGAGTTATTTGTTAATTCGATGTACGAAATTTTGTTGTAGTCGGAGAAAATTAAAATGGAGATTGCAGGCAACGTTCGTGCTTAATTAGAGAGAAATGGTCGTGAAATACCCGCGTTGGTTGTTGGAAGTTGTTTTAAATCGAGTGAAACATAATTGTTTCTCTTTTTTGTTCTATATCAGGTTGTAAGGAGCTGTGAATGAACTAGAAGTTGCTGGTAAATTGGGTACTAAGGACGTGAACGTTCTTTTGCCATCTGGCTTTATGGAGCACGAAGAAAGCTACGTACTTACTAGCGACTATCCTTAGCGTTCATGCTATTTGAGTTACTTTTTATTTTATAACACTACCAAGTCGTTTTAAATATGTATAGATATTAATGTTTTATTATTTCATATTGTTGTTCTAAAAATTTTCAATTATATTAGAACGTAAAGTCGAAGTCATGTAAAATTAGATTGTCTTGAATTTTATATACTTCAGTCGAGCAAAGTATAAAGATAGATACCAAAATGTCAAGTGTTAGAAATATTTAATACTAGTAAGTGAATAACATTTCCGTCTGAATTTAATGGGATAATTCTAATTTTTATTTCCACTCCTATTATTTTTGTCGATCCGTATCGGAGCTGTTCCGGGGTTCGCGTTCGTTAGATTCCTCTCGAGGAAATCTAAAAACGTCGCCGGGCCCCAGGGATCGGATCCAACCAGATGATCCGTCTTCGCGGAGCGTCGTCCCAAGCATTTGTTAGGCGATGCGGAAAATCGAACGAGAGTTGGATGGATGACAGGAATTCCCGACAACGTTGGGAATCGCGCGGATTGCATGGAACGACAAACGATGACTACAACGACCGCTGCCAGCAGGTGTACTTCATAAAGAAACGGAGAGCTAAACATTGGACGAGACAATTAGAGGATGAGAAAGAAGGAAAGGAACCGTGCAGCTCTTATCCTTGAACGCAAATGGAGTCAATGATATAGAAAATAGTGACGGGTAATTGAAAGAAAGTAAGAAAGACAGTAACATAGCAAGAAATGGAAATGGAAGGATAAATGTTGAAATGTAAGTAAGGAGTAGAAATTATCGTTTCAAAGAAACTGGTATCGTTTGTTGTCAACATTTCTCATAAGTAATTTTCAAAAATTAATGGGAAGTTACAGGATTAAATGTAGGAAAGTAGGAGAGATATACATACGTAATGGAGAGAAAGGGGTGCACGAAGAGGGAGGCGACACTCGGCGAGTAATAGCTCCCAATTACCATAACGCTTGGCTAAGCCGACTAATCGGTTCCGCTTATGTCGACCGGCAAATTATTATTAATCACATTGCACGTGGATTACCGTTTATGTGCATCCATAGCGATGGCATTTGCACTTTGGACCACGTCGGGACGCGTCCGCCTGGCCAGCGCACATCGGTTAGGCAGCATGAATTTCCTAACCGATTTGTGATCTTACGGTTGCTCAGTATTCCCGGTAAAATGCTAAAAGCATCATTGGTAAAGTTGTTTCCCGAAATATTCCCCAAGAAGCTCGATCGAAGACGCGGACGTGCTAACTACAGAGCGGATTTTATGCATTTATAGATATATTTTATTGGCAGTGAATATAAAGAATGTTTGCCATGTTCATAAAAGTATAAAATATTAAAAGATGAGTTGTCCTCGCGATAATCGAAAGAATACATTGGTAGCGAGGATTCAGAATCGAATGATGAAAACCTTCGCCGTGGTCTCGCATCAGAGATTAATTGTTCACCGTAAATCACAACGGAAATTCCATTGGGAGCGACGGGTCGTTGGAGCCCGGGCTGCCCGGGAAAAATTGATAAAAAGAGAGGATTATATTCAGAACAAGTTTCCTTTCGTGAAAAATTGGGTTGCTTCCAGAATCAGAGCTTTTGTGGCAGATTTCGGTACGTCGTGTCGGTGGAGTGAGCTTCCATGAAGCTTGGGGTTCATGTCCGGTCCAAGGTAAGCTCGGCTACGAACTCGAAATCAATAAGCGGAACAAACTGTGTAGGTGGGTAGAGGTCGCTGATAAGATTGAATTTGCAGACTCTGCCACCCTTGTCGGCGAGGAAGGAATGAGTAGGACGAAAAAAAGAATGTGAGAAGAAGAAAAAAGAGAGCAGAGTAAATCTAAAACGGATAAGAGATCACAGTCTCACGAACGTGGTTTCCCACAAACTGGTTCCCCTCTTTTTCCTCCTTCTCTGCGAGGATTCTCGTGTTTGCAGTACCGATCAAGACAGCAATTATTTGATCCGGCTGCTGAGATGTACCCCTTCGCGAATCCCACCCTTTCGGGGCAAAGACTCTTCGCTCCTTTCCCATTTCCATCCTTTCCTCCCCAGATTCATTTTTTCGTTTTTCCATCGGATAACTTCGGATAATTTAATATTCCTTGAAGTGAATTTTAAATATTAAGCGGCATCACTTTAATTATTCATTTCAACCGTCTTTGATGACGCTTTGCGGACAAATGTTTACCATACTGAGTTGCCACAAGTTCACTTAAAAATTCATCATGAGATTTCTCAATTATAAATTATACATACGACCGAAACAGAATTCACATCGCAATCATGCTGGGGTGATAGATGTATCTCCGATTTATGTATTTTACGTATTCTTTTTTAACTAACAATGAAATGAAACACAAAGACAATCATCCATGTACGTGCCAGGTTTTGGCTATTGTAGAGCAAGCTGCGAGATAAATTCGGAGTATCTTGTCGCGCGCAGCCACCGACGGATTCATCGGCGTATTTTAGAGGATACTCGAGTCACCTGAAATATTCACCTAAAGTCGCTGGGTAAGACTCTGGAAAAGCAGACTTCGTTCTCTCTCTCTCTCTTCTGCTGTCTCCCTTTTTCTCTGTTACACCAGTGGCCTCTTGAGGGTTCTGGATTTAAAGTTTAAGGAGACCTCTGCTCAGCGTTGTGCGACGTCGTTGTGCTCCTGGCCGGAATGTCCCTGGGCAATGAACTTGTTCGAGGTCGATACAGCTTCTTCGTCTTCTAGCTCGATAGATTCTATCGTGGCAGTTATAACATTTCACTGTAACTTTCAGCCAGTCATCATTGGATTCAATCTACCATTGTCATTTGTGGAACACCTGCTCCTCGATCGCAATGCATACGAAAG